TTTTGGGCAGTTTTACACATGTATACATGTATGTGTGTGCGTGTGTTCATATATGTATATACACATATATATATCGTATCTCTCTCTCTCTCTCTCTCTCTCTCTCTCTCTCTCTCTCTCTTTTAATGTTTGGTTTCTCTCTCTCTCTCTCTCTCTCATCCCCTCTCTCTCTATCCTCTCCCTCGCCCCTCCCTCTCCCTCTCTCTCTCTCTCTCTCTCTCTCTCTTCCTCTCTCGTTATTTCTTTTTCTTTTTCATCTCTCTCTCTATCTCTCTCTCTCTCTCTCTTTCTCTCCCTCTCCTCTCTCCTCTCTCCTCTCTCCTTCGCTCTCTCTCTCTCTCTCTCTCTCTCTCTCTTTCTCTTTCTCTTTTTCTTTCTCTTTCTCTTTCTCTTTCTCTTTCTCTTTCTCTTTCTCTTTCTCTTTCTCTTTCTCTTTCTCTTTCTCTTTTCTCTTTCTCTTTCTCTTTCTCTTTCTCTTTCTCTTTCTCTTTCTCTTTCTCTTTCTCTTTCTCTTTCTCTTTCTCTCTCTTCTCCTCTCTCTCTCTCTCTCTCTCTCTCGCTCTCTCTCTCTCTCTCTCTCTCTCTCGCTCTCTCTCTCTCTCTCTCTCTCTCTTTTTTTTTTTTTTTTTTTTGTTGTTGTTTCTCTCTATCCTCTCTTTTTTGTTTGATCTCTCTTCTCTCATATATATATATATATATATCTTTATTTCTTTTGTTTTCTCTCTCTCTCTCTCTCTCTTCTCTCTCTCTCTCTCTCTCTCTCTCTCTCTCTCTCTCTCTCTCTCTCTCTCTCTCTTTGTTGTTATCTCTCCTCTTCTCCTCCTCTCTCTCTCGATGTTTTTTCTTCTCTCTCTCTCATGTATTGTATTTTATATGTTTTTCTCTCTCTCTCTCTCTCTCTCTCTCTCTCTCTCTCTCTCTCTCTCTCTTTCTCTTCTCTTCTCTTTCTCTTTCTCTTTCTCTTTCTCTTTTTCCTCTCTCTTTCTCTCTCTCTCTCTCTCTCTCTCTCTCTCTCTCTCTCTCTGTCTGCCCACCCCCGCGGTCGGCGCGAGGCGAGAGAAGGGTTTCTGCTTCGTCCACGGCGCAGCGCGCGCGGGCGCCCGAGATCAGCGCGGGCTAAGGCGGGACTTAGTTTATAGACTTGTTATTGATGTAAGAAACCAAGCTCTGGCCCTTAAGTTAAAAAGCCAGACAAAGCACCTGTGCAGGGGGGGGCCCTGGAGGCGCGCGTCTGCTGCCATCTCCTCCTCGGCGTCGACGACGTTGGCCAGCGCGGGCCGCCCGCTCATGCAGCCGCGATGTTCCGGGGAAAATCCGGCTTCGATCGGCGGCCCCACGCGCTGGCGCACTGCGCTGCAGAGGATGCGTTTGTCGGCGCTGGCATGGGTGAGAGGCCGCGCGTTGCCTGCTGGGTAGACCGCGGTGTCATCGGCGCGCGTCGATGACGCTCCCATTGACGCTCCCATTGAAATCGCGCCGCGCCTCCCGGGCCATGTCGAGTCCTGCAGGGGGCGATCGTCGACCCGAACGCGTCGTTGAAGGCGTCGGCGGCCAAGTCCACGACCTTGAGCCGCGATCTGGAGGGGGTGCCACCCTGGCCCGGCGCGGAGCTCTCCGACCGGCGAATCGCCCGCGGGAGCGAGCGACGCGGCGTCGCGAGGCGAGGCGGGCGGTCGGTCGGCGCAGTCGGCCAGGAGGTGCCGCGCATCTTCCCGTAATTATCCAAATGTCCGAAAGGGACGCGCCCATGTCCTTGCGGCGGAAGACCTCGGACCAATGGTCACAGAGAGTGCTCGGCATCTCTTTGGGCTCCGTCGTCGCCTCCCGAGAAGGCTTGCCCGGCGCGAAGCGTTGGCGGCTCCGGCCCGGCGCGAACATGCGCGTCGGCCGCCGGTTCCGCCCCCGCCGGTGCGTTTCTCGGGCCAGTTCCAGCTCGCGGAGGTCCTCGCGCAGCTTGCGCAGCTCCCGCGCGGTGAAATCTCGCTGCAATTCCATCGCGCGACCGCGCGAGCCGAAGTCCCAGCGGGGGCGCGAAGTCGCAAACATTGGCAACTACATCTCGCAAGAACGAATGCCGCTTGCGGCGTCGGAAGAGACGTTCCGCGCCCTCCGGGGCCCCGGGGAAGTTCAGCGCGCGCCAGTGCGGTCGTCCAGCGCTCCGCGGAAGTGAAAGCCAACCCAGGAAGCCAGCCGGGGCCAGCTCCGAGCGGCGCATCGCCCGCCTCAGCAGCTGGAGCTGCGCCAGGGCATGCGCGTCAGGGTTGTCGCGAAGGAGCTCCTGCCAGGCTCAGGCGACCTGGAGCTACGTGGGCGCTGGCGGGACAAATCGGGGCAACGCGTCAACGCATTGCAGGGGCAGGCCTTGACGAGGTACTCGACGTCGCACTGGTTGCAAAACGCGCGGTCCGGTCGCGCTCTGGCGTCTGGTGCCGCGCGCGCGGCTTCCAGCAAGTAGAGCCCCTAGATGCCGTGGGGGATCTCTACCATGGTGTGCCAGCTGGTGGCGTCGCGGTGGTCTTGGTGGCCAGTGGCCGCGCCCGTGGGGATGCACGCGCGCTCGGGAGGGCGGAGAACGTGATTAAAATCACCCCCGAGGATCTTCAAAAGCTACTCGCGAGGACGGAGGCGCTGGGCCAGCCGATGCCGCAACGCCTCGCGGAGCTCGAACTTGGACGGGACGTGCTGGGCTGGGTCGCGATCGGCCTCCATGACTTTCTCGGAAGGCGTGGAGTCCCCCATGTGGAAATAAACCGTGCTAGTGTCTAGCAAACCAGATCCCCACCGAGGCGCAGCACCGCCGCAGATCCCCATCGAGGCCCCATGAAGAGGGCCCTGGGCCAACCGCAGCCCCCGAGAAACTTCCTCACCCTCGTTTCTCGTTGCTCGCTTACACATGACAAAGCGTGCGCCCTCGCGCCCCCAAGACAAGCGATCCGCGCCGTGACGTCACTTCCACTTCCTCCTCCCCCCAGACGTCCGAAGCCGTGTATTGTTCACGGATTGACTCCCCCAAATCGGGGAAACGTGACTCGAATTTGGGGACTCGGAATGGCTTGACGGGGCCGTCAGAAAAATGTCAGGAACGATCCGAACATGTGACGCGACCTCCAGCTGCAAACATCTCACGGACACTGGCCCGTCAACCTCACGCTTGGACGGCCAAAAGAATTGCAAACCCAACCTAGATTCTGGCAAATTCGAATCGTAAGGTCTGGGCCCCTTCCCGGGGACCCGCTCTTCGTAAGCAGTGGGTCTTTGTCGGGTACGCACTACTTTGGGTCAGCACAAACCCGGGTCGCAAAGCCTGGCCGGCCGCTGAGTAGCGCCACGACCCGGGTCAACGGATCGGCGCTGGCACTCCCTAGCGCGCGGAACGCACCAGGGGCGGCGCCGGCGGTGCCGCAATAAAGGCCCAGCCCCGATCCAAGAAGTCCGCGCGGACCTCTGAGTAATTCTGTTAATGCGTGTTTTTTCGTTCTCCGATGGCGCCAAGACAGCCCAGGAGAGATCAAGATGACCTCCAAGATCGCTCAAGATAGCCCTCGGTGACTCAAGATAGCTCATAACAAGCCTGCACGAGGCTCCGAAACCGCCCCAAGACGGCCCCAAGTGGCCACGGAGCCTCCCAAGGACGCCACCGAGAGGCCCAAATCCTTCAAAAACCTGAGGAACATCCATGTCTTTGGCCTTCTCGCCTTTTCGATTTCAATGGGCTCTTGAGGCTTCAAGATGGCCCGAAGATGGCCCAAGAGAGCCCGAAAACAGGGCCCAGAGAGGCCCTTGACGGACCCAAGAGCGCCCCAAAAGCGGCCCAAGAGGGCCCCCAAAGGCGATTTTTCGGGTTCCGAAGGGGAGGCCGTATTTGGCGCCTCGCTCCTTTGTGAACCGTGCCCTCAAAAATAGTCCCAAGAGACTTCCCAGACCCCCCCAAAGAGCCCTAAGAGGGCCCCAGGACCACCCAATAGAGCCCCAAGGGTGCCCCAAGAGGCACCACGAGGACCCAAAAGGGCCCAGAGACCTGCGACATAGCCCCCAAGAGCGACAAACCCAGAAACGCCTTCATGGTTGACTTCGTCGTCGTCGTCGTCGTCGTCGTCGTCGTCTTCGTCTTCGTCGTCGTCGGAAACGACATCGTTGTCGCGGTCATCGTCATCTTCGTAACTTTTCTCCTCTCTCCTCCCACCGCCTTCCTCTTCCTCCTCCGCCTCGTCCTCCTCCCATTCCTCCCCATCTTCCGCTTCTCCTTCTACTCCTCCTCCTCCTGCTGCTGCTGCCCCTCCTCATCCAGCTCCTCCTGCCCCCCCCGCTATTCCTTTTCCTCCTCCTCGTCCTCCTCCCCCTCGTCCTCGTCCTCGTCGTCCTCCTCCTCCTCCTCCTTCTTCGTCAACACGTCAACATAGGAACCGCCTGATCAAAGGCGACTCCCCCTCCTCTTCCTTCTCTTCCCATGTGTTCCCCCTGCCAGTACGGTATATGAGGAGGAAGAGGAGGATATATTAGATGCGAGAGCAGGAGGAGACACGCCCGTCGCAGCATGTGGTGCTTTGGGATGGGCTGGTGAAGATACGCGAGGCGTGAATAAATATGTTATGACGTGCTTTCCGTTATCCATTTATCGCATCTGAGGACTCGCGTGCCGCATCCCATCTTGAACGAGAACACGACATGGTACAGGTGGTCTTCTTAGAAAACCGCGCCACGTGGGGCCGTGACCCCCCTTCCACCTCCGCCGCCCTTCTCCTCGTCCACGCCCTCCTCGCCCTCCCCTGGGTATCTCCTCCTCGCTCGTCGCCCTCCTCCTCCTTCTCCTCCTCCTCTGCCTCCTTCCTCCTCCTGGCCGTCGCCCTCCGTACCCTTTCGCCTGCCTCCTACTCGCCTGTCGCCCTCCTCCTCCTCCTCCTCCTCCTCCTCCTCCTTGCTTGTCGCCCTCCCCCTCCTCCTCCCACCATTTGCGACGAGGACGGCGGCGAGGGCGACTGGGCCCGCGCGGGCGGCGCGTCCTGCGGGGGCCCCCGTGCCCGGGGCCGCCCGCGAGCACGAGGCCCGCGGCGGCGACGCCGCCGCGGCGGGGGAGGCGGCGCGCCGCGGCGCCAGCAGCGAGTCCGCCTGGAGCCCGGGGGAGGGAATGAAGGCATGCGACGAGACGTAAGATTGGCCTTTCGCAGGAGCGACCTTCGGTGCGAGCACATATGGGTCCCAAGATGTCTGAACACGAAGCAGTAGCAGCTGGTTGCGCGCCCAGGTTTGGTCCCCCCGCGGCCCCCCCAAAGCCGCGCACCAAAGGTCATTCTTACCGAGGGTCACTCTTGCGTATAGCCGAAGCATGCACTGTTTCCTCCTTCTCCTCCACTTCCCGTGGCTACGCTTCTGCCTCCTATTCCTTATGAGCAGCCCCTCCCCGTCGCGCCCCTGGGCCGGTCGAGAGGGCGGGTTGGGCGTTACGCGTGAGACTTCCTCAACAGCTGTGGCCGTGAAGCTTAAACTTGGCAACAGCTTCGCAGATGGAGGGCGGGTGCTTTTCAAACAGTTTCTCTCGCCCAAGCGCCGCGCACACTCGCCTTAACAACGTAAAGAGCTTCAAATATTGAGGGCGGGTCTTTTTTCACAATGAGGCTTTCGCCTTAGCGCCGCGCTCACTCGTCTTAACAATTTGCAATCGCTTCAAGGGTTGAGGGCGGGTGGTCTTCAACATGTGGTTTTCGCCATAGCGACGCGCGCACTCGTCTTGGAAATTTGCAAAAGCTTCACGGATTGAGGGCGAGTCGTTTTCAAACTGTGGCTATCGCCTTCGTGCCGCGCACATTCGTTTGAAACATTTACAAGAGCTTTACGGATTGAGGGCGGCTCCCTTTCAAACTGTGGCTCTCGCCCTCGCGCCGCGCACATTCTTTCTGACACTTCGCAGCCGCTTCACCAATTCTCATGGTTCGCGTGCCAGGAATGGCATGTGGGACCGATTCATGATCACCGGGGCGCAACAGTTACTTTGATACGCTGAACCAAGTCACAGGAGTGGTGTTCTGGTACGATTCAGGACCGCCAAGACCACACAATCAGGTTAACTCGTGGAGTTGATGTCCTGACACTGATGTTTGGGCACGCTTCAGGATTTTTGCACGGTTGTCCCCAAACGGGACAATTCCCTATGGAAGCGCACCCTTTGTAGGGCATATGAAGAGGGAGCTTGGAGGGAGGGTGTACTCCAACGTCGCTGATGAGTCTTAGGTTTGCACTGGTCCTCGTCGTCCTCCTCCTACTCTCTCTGGCTACGCTCTGCCTCCTCCTCATCATCATCATCAACCATCCTCTGGCGACGCTCTCCTTCCTCCTCCTCGTCTTCTGGCTACGCTCGGCCTCCTCCTCCTCTTTCCTCAGGCTGCGCTCCAGGCGGGCTCGCTGCCGGCGCCGTGCCGAGCCTAGGGTGGCGAGGGGCAACGATCGGGGGGGGGGGGGACTGGCTCTCTCTTGTCGACCTCGTCGAGGTAATTCGCGAGAGTTCGTACGTATAGTCGATGTCGATACCAACTGAACTATAGAAATACATAGGAAAGGTAACTCTTTTCCTCAAGACAAGGGTGGGCTCGTTCACGAGCCAAAGCAATATCTGATATGAAACCGCGCACAGAAAGCTCGAGCACTGGATATAGCTACGGAATCGGATCGGAGGTTTCCTTGAAACGTTGAAACGGTACTGGATCGGAGGTTCCCGAAATCCTGTGCAACTCTCCCTTGGAAATCCGATTTCTACGACACGGGGGGTTCAGTGCTCCCCTTTCACTCAAACTGTAAATCTCCAGCCCTGAAACGAGAGTACGAGAGTGGACGGGGTGAGACAGACCTGCTAAAGAGGAGGTGTGAGATCGGAGACTGTGGCTCATCATGTGCTGGCTGTCCTGCTGCTCACCCTCGAAGTCTCGAGGTCCGAGTCACTGAAACTCGGGATGACGGGAGGCCTGCTGTCCTCGTTGTCCATGCTGTCCAAAACATCTTTGCGCATGGTCTTCCCAACGGGGTACATATGTCCACGCGGTTGTCCCCCAACGGGGTAATTCCCCCAGAGGATGATGATGAGGGGTCTGGGAGGGAGGGCGTATTTCAACACGGTTGGTAAGTCTTGGGTGTGCACTGGTCCTCCTCCTCCTCCTCCGTCTTCCTCACATTCCCTCACTCCGGGTGTATCTGCCGACGGCGCGTGCGTCCGCGCCACACGCCTTGCTCGTAGGCGGCCCGCCACCGCAAGGGCTCGCTGCGCGCCCATGGACGCGCAGCGGGCTCGGCTGCCGCGCCGCCTGCCGCCGCCGTCGCTGTCGCC